CTGTTGCTGCTGCTGCTGTTGCTGTTGCTGCTGTTGCTGTTGCTGTTGCTGCTGCTGTTGCAGTTGTTGGCACTCATGGAAGGGACTGGTAGATCGTGTTTAAACCACAAAATGACTGCTGCTGTTCCTGCTGCTGCTGCTGCTGCTGCTGCTGCTGCTGCTGCTGCTGCTGCAGCACCAGCAACACTCCTATGGCCTGGTGAGGGCCCCCACAAGATATATCCGCAGCAGCAGGAGCAGCAGCAGCAAATAGCTGTTCTGCTGTTCTACTGTATTCAAATATTCAAGCGAAGCAACAAATAACAATTCCGTGTTCAACTTCTGCTGCTACGCAGCTTCTTGCTGCTGCAGCAGCAGCAGCAGCAGCTGCTGCTGCAGCAACTGCAGCAGCATGCAGCCCCCAGGTGAGAGAACAACCGGCAGCAAAATGCGCTGCATTTATTACTTTAATTATTTTTAATAATATTATTTAGTGTATTGATTTCGTCCTGAAGAGATCGCAGCAGCAGCTGCAGCAGCAGCAGCAGCTGCAGCAGCAGCTGCAGCAGCCCTTGTTGTCTGGTGGCAGCAACCGTGTCTTGTCTGCTGCAGTCCCCCAGCAGCAACAGCAGCAGCAGCAGCAGCAGCAGCACAACGACTTGCTGTAATTGCATGTGTGAGCTAGGCTGTTGCTGCAGCACCAGCGGCAGCGGTAGAGCAGCAGCAGCAGCAGCAGCAGCAACACCAGCAGCAGCAGCAGCAACAGCAGCAGCAGCAGAATTATTAAACCCCAGGCAGTTTCGGCTGTCTCTCTAAGCGCAGATGAAAGAAACCTCCATATTTCTGCTGCTGCATGCTACACACGTGGTGCTGGAGCAGCAGCAGCAGCAGCAGCAACAGCAGCAGCAGCAGCAGCAGCAGCAGCAAGATATCCTGCTGCTGAACATACCCTGGGCCCCTGACTTACCTCTCCTCAGCTAGCCAGCTAGCGGTGCTGCTGCTGCTATTTCTGCTGCTACTCTTGACGGAGCACCGGGCAGCAGCAACAGCAGCAGCAGCAACAGCAGCAGCAACAGCAGCAGCAGCAGCAGCAGCAGCAACCGCAGGAATGTCTGAAGCGGATTTAGAGAGAGAGCTGCTGCTGCGGCAGCAACGCATGCAGGAGCGTCGCTTAGCACAGGAGCGGCTGCAGCAGCAGCAGCAACAGCTGCAGCAGCAGCAGCAGCAACTGCAGCAGCAACAGCAGCAACTGCAGCAGCAACAGCAGCAGCTTCTCATTGAAGAAGCAGACCTTGTGCGTAACAGCCCCCAGTCTGCCTCTCGTTTTGCTGCTGATAAAGAGCAGCAGCAGCAGCAGCACTTGTTGCTGCAGCAGCTGCAACTGCAGGAACAGCAGCAGCAGCAGCAGCAGCAGCAGCACACGTTCCAGCTGCAGCAGCAGCTGCAACTGCAGCAGCAGCAGCAGCAGCAGCAGCGAAATGACAAGCTGTTGCGGTCGAGCTGTAGTGACAGCGATGCAAACATATCAGCAGCAGCAGCAGCAGCAGCGCATGCAGCTGCTGCTGTTGCTGCCCGCTTCTCCCATACAGAGAGGCTCTGCTGCCGCAGCAACAGCAACAGCAGCAGCAGCAGCAGCAACAGCGGTAGCGGCAGCTATAGACAACCGAGTTCAAGCGGCAATTCACCGGTTGCAGCAGCAGCAGCAGCAGCAGCTGCTGCTGCTGCTGCTGCTGTACAGGCAGTAGAAGTGCCCCGCCGCGTTCACTGCAGCAGCAGCAGCAGCAGCAGCAGGCCCCCACCCCCTCGGCAACTTACTCTGCCGCAGCAGCAGCAGCTGCAGCAGCAGCTCCTGCTCCAACAGCAACAGCAGCAACAGCAGCAGCAGCAGCAACAGCTGCAGCAGCAGCAGCAGCAGCAGCAGCGGCAGCTTGTGTCTTGCTGCTGGCGCGACCTTCCTATTGAGCGGCAGCCGAACTTCCCTCCCTCCTCTCTGCCTAGCTTTGCTGCTGCTGCTGCTGCTGCTGCTGCTGCGGATGAAGCACCAGCAGCAGGAAACGTTTCACGGCGCAGCACCTCATCAGCAGCAGCAGCAGCAACAGCAGCAGCAGCAGCAGCAGCAGCAGCAGATGACCAGAAGCAGCAGTTCAAGCTGCCGCCTCTATCGCGGGGTTTACAGTCTATGTCAGCAGCAGCAAGCATCGATGCAGCAGCAGCAGCAGCAGCAACAGCAGCAACAGCAACAGCAGCAGCAGCAGCAGCAGCAGGAAGACAGTTCATGTATGAGAGTGATTCTTCTGTGCTGCCGTCGTCAGCAGCAACGCCAGTCTCGGCAAGGCAAGCAGCAGCAGCAGCAGCAGCAGCAGCAACAGCAGCAGAAGCAGCAGAAGCAGCAGCAGATGCATACGTTGCTGCAGCAGAGGCTGCTGCACTCTCAGCCTCAGATGCTGTTGATGCTGCTGCTGCTGCAGCGCGTGGCCAGCAACAGCAGCAGCAACAGCAGCAGCAGCAGCAGCAGCAGCAGATAATGCAGCAGCTGGATCGCCGCCATGCAGCTCTTTCTCAGCTGCAGCAGCAGCAGCAGCAGCAGCAAATGCTGCAACATGATGCGGGTGTTTACATGGATGCAGCAGCAGCAGCAGCAGCAGCAACTGCAGCAACACCAGCACCAGCAGCAGCAGCAGCAGCAGCAGCAGCAATCGCCAACAGCAGCAAGGAGGAGCGCAGCAACTGCCGCTTCGATAGCCCTTCCAACGCAGGTCCGCATGCAGCAGCAGCAGCAGCAGCAGCAGCTGCTGCTGCTGCTGCTTCGCGTACACAACCGCTGAAGCCTGTAGTCCAGCAGCAAGTCGCCAGCAGCAGCAGCAGCAGCAGCAACAGCAGCAGCAGCAGCAACAGCAGCAGCAGCAGCAGCAGCAGGCCGCATGCACAGTTGAATATATCTTCAGATCTATCATTTATTTCAGCAGCAGGAGATACTGCCTCAGCCTGCAGCAGCAGCAGAACTGCTGCTGCGTTGTGGGGTATGCATAGCAGCAGCAGCAGCAGCAGCAGCAGCAGCAAGGCATTTGACTACACTGCCCTGCGCAGCAGCATCCGCAACATTCGCGACAGCTTCACGCTGCTGCCTGCAGCAGCAGCAGCAGCAGCAGCAGCAGCAGTAAGAACCCCATCAGCTGCAGCAGAATCAGCCACAAGCGGCACCAGCAGCAGCAGCAGCAGCAGCAGCAACAGCAGCAGCAGCAGCAGCAGCAAGCAGCAGATGAAGCCTCAGATAGATTCTGTTGCTTCCACTACATGCGGCTGGAGCAGCAGCAGAAGCCTCTCTACGCAGGGTACTGCTGCGGGGCCAGCTACTCTTGCTGCTGCTGCTGCTGCTGCTACTGGTGCTGCTGCTGCTGCTGCTGGCAGCAGCAACAGCAGCAGCTGCAGCAGCAGGGGCTTCACTCCCGTGCTGTCTGTCTCTCCCTCCGGCAGCTTCATACAGTCTTCTCCTCAGCCCCTTCTGCGTGGGCTGGGGCAGCAGCAAGAACCAGCAGCAGCAGCAGCAGCAACAGCAGCAGCAGCAGCAGCAACTGCAGCAACAGCACCTGCAACTGCAACAACAGCAGCAGCAACTACAGCAG